AAAAAAAAAAAAAAAAAAAAAAAAAAAAAAAAAAAAAAAAAGAGAGAGAAGGGAAGACAAACTTAGCACAGGCAAGGAACAGGGCCAGGCAAAGTCAAACGGGGCTGGGCAGGTCTCATGCTGTGCGTCTGCATCATCTTCATCCACACAATAGCTGAGCAGAGCGAAGAGTCTGTTAAGTGGGGCATTACCTGGAATAAGCCTCCTCTGTGGTAAGGGGGCTTTTTGAAGAACTCTTTTCCCCAGAGCCGTCTCAGCATGGGTAGGCAGTTTTTGAACTGTATACTGCAGAGTTAGGGCTAACTTGCTCTGCTTTTTGAAGCATTTTGTGCAAAAAGAGGCTGTTTAGCTTTCCAAGGAAATCTGTTACAGACGGATAACTTTTCAGCCACTAGCCTAGGGCCTGGAATTACTCATATTTTCAGGGCGTAAGGAGGTCGAAAGATATACCTGGCCAGGCTGGGCCTGATGGCTCACAGCTGTAATCCCAGCAATTTGGGAGCCCAAAGTGGGAGGATTGTTTGAGCCCGGGAGTTCAAAACATGGCAAAACCCCATCTCTACAAAAAAAATTTTTTAAAAGAAATAGAAATGAGTGGGGTGTTCAGAGGGTTGCATTTCTCACTCCTGTCCTCAGGGTCCTGGAGTTGGACAGTATGCGAGTTGGACAGATGGTTATTGGTCTTTTTTCAGTTTAAAAAATTGTTTTTGAATATTTGAACAGAAACTAATGGAAGGAAGTGTGCCCTCTGCCAAGAGCCTTCAGGATACCGGAAGAAGATGACAAAAGACTTTTCAGGAAGCTGCTGGAGTATATATAACAAGAGAGCCCTGTTTTCAAGAAACCTGATACCTTTATGGGTTTGGGAAGGGTAAGACACACGCATGCAAAGCTGAAGGACACTGGAGAATCCAAGGACTGTTTTTTATTTTGTGTGTGTGTGTGTGTGTTTGTTTTTTGTTTTCTCCTGAGTTGGAGTCTCGCTCTATTACCCAGGCTGGAGTGCAATGGTGTGATCTCGGCTCACTGCAACCTCCGCTCCCATATTGAAGCAATTTTCCAACCTCAGCCTCCCAAGTAGCTGGGATTACAGGCACCCACTACCACGCCCGGCTGATTTTTGTATTTTTAGTAGAGATGAGGTTTTGCCATGTTGGCCGGGCTGGTCTCGAACTCCTGACCTTGGGATCCACCTGCCTTGGCCTCCCAAAGTGCTGGGATTACAGGTGTGAGCCACTGCGCCTGGCCTCCAACCACTCTTACAGACCAGGGAAAAGAAAACCTGGTCAGGGTCAAGAGTGATGATGTTTTGATGTCTTCTTTTCTTTCTTTCTTTTTTTAAAGGAAGAGTCTCACTATGTTGTCCAGGCTGGTCTGAAACTCCTGGCCTCAAGAGATCCTCCTGCCCTGGACTCCCAAAATGCTGTGATTACAGGCACAGGCCACCGCACTAGAGCCGCAGTGACGATGTTGCCTGGATTCATGGGAAGTCCTAGGTGGAGGACCTGGAATTTGAGCTGGGTTTGAAGAATGGGGAGTGGGAGTAGGTGGGTGGGAAGCATTTGGTGCTGGAAGGAAGTGGCATGAACAGAGTTGGGAACCCACAAGGACAGTGACTTATGAGCAGCCCCATCTGGGTAAGTGGAAAATGTACGGGGGGGAACAGTTTTCCTTTTTGAGGATGATTCCCAGGGGCAGAATCAAGCTCCCCCAACTTATCCTTGGGGCTTGTGGCAGAGCTGAGATGTCTATTTCATGGACTCATCCATGTCGGCCAACCCGGGTATAGGAAGGTCCCTTCCACCCATGAGGTCTATGGACCAACAGGATTTTTGATTTCTGGTTTTTGTTGTTGTTGTTGTTTTGAGATGGAGTCTCGCTCTGTCACTCCAGCCTGGAGTGCAGTGGTGCGATCTCAGCTCACTGCAACCTCTGCCTCCTGGGTTCAAGTGATTCTCCTGCCTCAGCCTCCCGAGTAGCTGGAACTACAGGTGCGTACCGCCACGCCTGGCTAATTTTTGTATTTTTAGTAGAGACAGGGTTTTGCCAGGTTAGCCAGGCTGGTCTCAAACTCCTTAGCTCAGGTGATCTGCCCACCTCAGCCTCCCAAAGTGCTGGGATTACAGGTATGAACCACCACGCCCGGCCTAGGCTTCTGATTTGTTGTACGATGTGAAAAGGCGAAGGTAAAGGCAGCGACTGTCCTGACATAGTTTTCATATTTATTTATTTATTTTATTAATTTTTTGAAACATTTTTACTTGTTTATATATCAAAAGTGAAAAAGCATACAATTCAACACAATTTCAATAGCATTTGACACCACCCTCGTGGGTCCTGTGTATGGCTGACATCCCTGTCCAGTGCAAAATCAAACAAGAAAAAAGAAAGGAAGAAAAACCCCAAACAAAGAGGATTTTTCAGTAGGGAACATGCTGGGCTGATTAGATTCTATTAGATCACATTCATTTCATATCTATGTACAATTCTTCCATAAACTGGTCTTTAAAATAGATATATTTAAAGATATTAGAAATATATATTTCAAGATATTTTAAAAATATATTTTTAAAGAGACAGGGGTCTTGCTATGTTGCCCAGGCTGGTCTCAAACTCCTGGGCTCAAGCAATCCTCCTGCCTTGGCCTCCCAAAGTGCATACATCCATTTTGTGCTCTACCCTCTGGCTGGTAGGTTTTCAGAAACATTATCTAAGGTAGTTGAATCTGAGCTGCCTGTCTCTCTCTCACCCACCCCCCCTCACGTGTCCACTGCTCACACACAGCAGCCGGAAATGACACATTGAAGTGAGTCACCGATGCGGCTGTGAGTCACCCTGTAATTGGGGAAAGTTCTGTCCTGGTAGGTCATGCAGCCCCTTGCATTTCTGCTCCTAAATCTATTGAACACATTGGAAACCACTCTGTCCTCGCCCAAGTCTCTCTCCCCCACTGCGTCCTTTTGGTCCCCTAAAGAAGCTGAAATTGGATAGTCCATTTCCATCAAGTGGAAAAACACGAGGATAAGAGGGGCAGGAGGGTCTCAGGTGGCCACAAGGTGGCAGTGTGGGCCCCGTCACGTTGGACGTCCCAAGGGGTGTGTGCCAGTCAAGTGGCCAGACTTCCTGAGATACAGTGACACAGACCACAAAGTAACACTAAGAGCAAGTTTAAATACTATTATTTTCCGTAATAGTTCCCTTTCTCTCTAACAAGCACACAAGGGCAAAGATATAATAAATATTCAGGCACACCTCTGGCGTTCCACTCTCCCCACCAAGAGATTGGGGGTGAAGAGCTGCGCACACATCTGACCTTTCTTCCTCTATTCCTATAAAAATAAAACGAAGCAGAAACCTGCTTCAATGAGTAAACAAGTCACCTACACTCCAAAATAATCCATGCACACTGTTTCTGGGGAGGGAGACGGCCAGGCCAGGAGGGTCTCAGGGCTTGGGGGGCATTCACTCTGCTACCTTCAGCATCTCTGTGCTGGGTAGGGGTGGTCAGTGCCAAAATGGACTCTGAGATGAATAAGTGTTTCTTCCTTTGGCCTTTGGCCTGTCACCAGCCTCCTCCGCGGTGGCAGACAGTACAAGACTGATGGCAATGAGACTGGAACAGAAATAGTTTCTACCAAGCACACAAAAGCTCCTGTAAGCCCCGTGATTCCATCCTGCAAAGGTTCTCAGTGGGAACCAGGTCTGCAGACCCAAGTGGGCAGAGAGACGGGCGGAAGCAGGTGCCCAGATGGTCCCGCAGGCGTCACCTTTTGGTTTGGAGACCTTGAGGGAGTTGTGCTTCAAACTTCTCTCCCAGGGTCCCAGGCAGAGACTAGGGAGTTTGACCTAAAGGTCCTCCAAGGAGAGGCTGAGGTCTTGGAGACATATCTGGTTTACCATCTTTTCACGAAAGGCAAATGTCTTCTCTTCCTCCAGAAAGAGTCATTAACACTAAAATTCTTGTCTTCGGAGTTTCTTCTTTCCCGATGCATCTCCAGTTTGTCCCAGATGAAGGCGTTTTTCCCCAGGGTCAGGGTTCCATGACTTGGCCCATGAAAAGAACTGTTCCTGAGGATGGAAGAACCGTGGGGGTTGAGAAGTGGAAGGAATGGGACAGCTCATCGGGCTGTATGTGGGTGGAAGGGCTGATATCTGGGTAGATGAGTGAGCTGTCTGGATTCGCAGCTGCCTGAGTGACAGAGCGGGGACGGTGCCCTGGCACTGTCTGTGGGTGATAGAAGAATGCCTCCTCTTGGGATAGGAAGTGGGGTAGGGTTATGGATCCCCTGCCCAGAGCCCTCTCAGAGCTAGAGAGATGTCTGCATCAGTCAGGACTAGCTCCTGAAAGAACAGGTGGGAGGATGTGGAACGTGATGGGTTCCAGGCTCACCTGTGGGGTTGTGCCGGACCACAAAAAGGAATGGTCTGTCCATGATGATCTCCTCGGGGGCCATTCGGGCTGAGACTATGACAGCTGCAAGAGACAAGACAATGTCTTAGAGCAGAGGGATGCTGGCACTGGCACGCCCCCGCCCTTTTTCTTAGAGACAGGGTCTCTCTCTGTCGCTCAGGCTGGAGTGCAGTGGTGCCATCGTGGCTCACCGCAGCCTCTAACTCCTGGGCTCAAGTGATCCTCCCACCTCAGTCTCCCAAGTAGCTGGGACTACAGGTGCATGCCACCATGCCTAATATTTTTTTCTATTTTTTGTAGAGACAGGGTCTCATTAGGTTGCCCAGGCTTATCTCAAATGCCTGGGCTCAAGGGATCCTCCCACTTCGGCCTCCCAAAGTGCTGGGATTACAGGTCTGAGCCACTGAGCCCAGCTAGAAGTTGTTTTCCTGAATGTGAACCTTAAAAGTTTAGAGACATCCTCAAGACATGGTTTCCTCTAGGAGCTTGGTGGTAATGGATCAGTTTTCCCCTT